GGCGCCCGGGCCGGCTGCGTGGGGCCGCCCCGCTCGAGTCCACCTTAACGGGGCCGAGCGGGCGCTGTTTGTACACAGAGCGGCGTCCCGTGCCCTTCCTGCCCCGCATCCTGCCCCGGAGCCTGCCCCCGTGCCGCCCCAGCCATGCCGCTGCTGCCCCCGGCTCCCGCGGGCAGCCGGGACCCTGCGCCAGCTCTCCCTGGCCTGGTGTGGGGCAGCAGCCCAGCCCCACTGGAGTCCTGGAGCCCACGCGGGGCCAAGCCTGGAGCCGGGCTCCTCTCCAGGCTGCACGGCCCTCCCTGAGGGGCAGCAGCCCCACAGCAGTGGGGCAGCAAGGGCCTCAAAAGCGGGGCCGGCGCTGAGCACTCGTGTGCTAAGGCAGCGCCTCTCCCCCCTTCCCCGGCCGCGCTGGGGACAGGACACAGAGGACAGAGGCGGTGGCTCTGGTGCTGCTCCGTTTATTGAGGTGACGCTGCCCCGGGCGCTGCGCGGCCCCGCGGGCTCGTGCTAAGGCAGCTGTGGCTCTCACAGGGCGCGGGGACGGGGCCCTGCCCGGCTGCGCAGGGCGGCACCGGGCTGGGACACGGCCCCAGAGCCAGGCAGGGCGGCCGCAGGCAGCGGCGGCTTCCTCAGTCCTTCCCCGGGTCCTCCTTCAGCGTCACCGTCCGGTTGAACACGAGCTGGGGAGAGGGAGGCAGCGCCCTGAGCACGGCGGCGCGCGGCGGGACAGAGCCACCCCGCTCCGCCAGCCGCACCTTCCTCGCGCTGCTGTCCGGATCCACGGAGAAGTAGCCCAGCCGCTCAAACTGGAACTTGCTGAAGGGCTGCGCGGACAACACGGATCTGTCGACCAGGGCAGTGTCGATCACGCGCAGCGAGTCCTGTGTGGGAAACAGGGACATGCAGCAGCTTAATGGGTGCATCCATTGCCCCTTTCGCCCCAGCCCCCTGTGCTGTGCCCATCCCGCCCCTCTCCCTGGAGCAGCTGGGGACAACCAGGGCCACATGAGGGAGCAGCAGGGGTAGCCCTGCAGCAGCTGCCTCTGGTTGTGGGGCAGCAGCTTCCTGGCTTCCCCCAGCCTTTTGGGCCCTTCTGCTACTACTCACAGGATTGAGGTCACTCAGAAATCCACCTGGGACCTCTGCGGGGTCCTCGGGATTTTTGTGCAAGAACCTGCGACGAGAGAGGGGCTGTCAGTCCAAGTCCCTGGGCGAGGGGCCGCTCTGCCCCTTGGCAGCCACGCTCAGAGCCCCACAGCAGCGTTGTCCCCACGGAGCAGCGGGGACACCTCTGCTGCCAGGTGGACGTGGCCTTTCCCCGGCACCCGCCAAGACCTGCAGTGCTGCCCAGGAGCACCGTGTCCTTTCCCCATGAGGGACACGGAGCCCTGGCCTGATGCACGAGGGGCCATGGGATACAGCCAGGCTGCCAGCATGACCGGCAGGAGCACAGAGCCGGCGGTGGCAGAAAGCTGCTGAACACGCAGCTCCGGTTTGAGCTGCCAAGAGGCAGCAGTGCCTCCGCAGAGCCTGCTGGCACCCGGCCACGCTGCCAGGCCAGGCTGCAGCAAAACCAACGACCCTGCGCCCGAGCCTCTGCGGGCAGCCCGGGGACTCACAGGCGCTCGTAGAGCCGCACTTCACACGCCAGCGGCTCTGACACCCAGTGGATGAAGGCTTTGGGCTTGTCTGCCGCGTCCGACTTGGTGCAGGTCACCTCCAGCTCCATGACGCGCCCGCCGGCGTCCTGATCAGGACGAGACGAATGAGGCAGGAGCCCCATCACTGCAGGTCGGCCGTGGGGCAGCCCCTCCAGCCCCACAGCATGGGGAGGGCAGGCTGGGGGCCGCCCCGCTCCACACAGCCGCTGTGGGCAGCCTCACAGCGCCAGGGCCCGGCGTCACCCACCTTGATGACATTCTGGACAGCAATGACATAGCCAGTGTGTCGCAGCCCCACCGGCTGCCCGGGGGCCAGGCGCTTGTAGCCCTTGTCTATGTCCTGTGAGACAGTTCAGCAGTGCAAGCGGGTGCCCAGGGCTGGCCCCGCTCCCCTGCATCCCTCCATTCCCAAAGTGGAGTTCCAGGAGCGAGCGCAGCACAGACTGATGTGTGCAGAGGTCCGTGCCCATCTCACCTCCCTGAAGTCCGTCTCCTCGATGTAGATGGTGGGCTGGAAGGGCACTTTGTGGAAGCCTCTGGTCTCATCAGCTGGGAAGTTGGGCACGAGGACGTCGAGGGCCTGGGGACAAGGCAGGGTGAGCGTTTGCCCCGGGAGCTCCCACCCCACACCCCAGCCCAAGGCTACCTCACCTGCGGAGCAGGGAAGTTGGTGATGGTGACCTTGAGCGGCTCCAGCACGGCCATGGCGCGGGGCGCCTTCTCGTTCAGCACCTCCCGCACGCAGGCCTCCAGCAGGTGTGGCTCCATCGTCGCCTGGGCCACCGTCACCCCGACCTGCGGGACACGGAGGCGTCACTGCGCCAGCTGAGGGACACAGCCATCTACCCCGGCCCACACGGCCCCTACCCGGGCACAGAAGTTGTTGATGGCCTCGGCGGGGAAGCCTCGCCGGCGCAGAGCCGTCAGCGTGAAGAGCCGCGGGTCGTCCCAATCCCTGCGGAAAGGACAACGTGACAGCAGAGCACGACATGACAGCGGAGCGAGGACAGAGAGAGACCGCACCAGCTGCGGCCTCGGGCCCACCTGACAGCGCCCGTCTCCACCAGCCGGATGATCTTCCTCTTGGAGACAACAGTGTAGAGGAGGTTCAGGCGCCCGTACTCCCACTGCACGGGGCAGTAGACATCCAGCGCGTTGCAAAGCCAGAAGTAGGAGGATCGTCTGCAAGGCAGGCACAGACCCAACCCATTCGGCTTTGTACTGGTCCACAGACACACCGGTCTCTGCTCAGCCCCACCAGCTCCCCCTGCTCCTCCGCATCCAAGCCCCGGCCAGGCTGCACCCAGAGGTTCCCTGTGTAAAGCTGCAAAGCTGCTGGGCCCAACGGGGGTCCAGGCTGCCTCTGGGCAGGCTGCATGTGCTGCTCACCTGGCCTGGAACTCCTTGGTGCAGAGGGAGTGCGTGATGTGCTCGATGGAGTCGCACAGGCAGTGCGTGTAGTCGTACGTGGGGTAGATGCACCTGGAAGGGCGGCGCGGTCAGCCCCGCTCCCAAACCCGGCACCGCCTCGCTGCCGGTCACCGCGACACAAGCCCGTCCTCGCCGCGCGCGCCGCCGACACCGCCCGCCCTACCACTTGTCCCCGGTGCGGTGGTGCGGAGTGAATTTGACACGGTAGGCGACGGGGTCCATCTTGCCATCCTCCATCACCAGCTTCATCCGCAGCGTGGCCTCCCCCTCCCCGAACTTGCCCTTCCGCATGTCCTGTGGAGCGGGAGGGCCGTGAGCTGGGCTAGGGCCCCGGCTCCCCACGCACACGCGGCGGCCACAGCCAGCCAGGCAGGACCTCGAAGAGCAGAAGCGACTCCTCCGCGGGCCGGTCCCGCCACGGCGAGGGCGCTGGGTTGTGGCCCTTGATCTCCTCCACCTTCTGATGGCAGACGTAGGCATGGCCCCTGCAGGGGGAAATACGGGCACCGCTGTGAGCGGCACGGCCCCTCGGCAAGCGGGAGCCCAGGGTGCTGCTCCGGCACCCCACCTGCCCCAGTGCCCACCTGCGGATGAGCTCCAGGGCCCAGGTGTAGAGCTGGTCAAAGTAATCCGAGGCGTGGGTCACTGCGTAGGGCTGGTAGCCTGCGGGCACGGGGAGCTGTGAGGCACCAGGTTGGCCCCGTCCTGCCTGGTGCCCCCTGCCCCATCAAGGAAGCAGCTGGGGCAGACACAGAGCAGGCAGGGGCTGCCCCAGCTCCCAGCTGCAGCACCCGCAGGCAGAGGCGCCCGCGGCAGCAGCAGCCCTAACCGTACCCAGCCACTCCACCATGTCCCGGATGGCTGTGAAGTACTTCTCCTCCTCCTTCTCGGGGTTGGTGTCGTCGTAGCGCAGGAAGCACACGCCACCATTGGCCTGGGGACGCGGGGACGGTCAGTGTGTGCTCCCCGAGGGGCTGCACAGCCAGGCCAGCAGCTCTGGTCCCAGAGCGTGTCTGGCCCCAGCGAGGGCCCCGGGGTTGCCAGCAGGGCTGGGCGCCTCTCACCTTGGCATAGCCGAAGTTGAAGTTGATGGCCTTGGCGTGGCCGATGTGCAGGATCCCGTTGGGCTCGGGTGGGAACCGCGTCCGCACCTGCACGGGATAAAGGGGACACATCTGTCCTTCAGCAGGAGACTCCGTCCCTTCCCACGAGAGGGGCACTAACACGAGACCACGAAGGTCTGACACGGCCCCGTGTGCCACATGGGTGCCACCTCTGACTGTCCCAAACATGGGCTGTGTCCCCCAGCCATGCTGCTCCCTGAGCCACAGCCTGGCACGCTGGACTCAGGGCTGAGCTCACCTGACCACCTGTGACTGCCAGGTGCTGCTTCAGAAGAGCCATGGTGTTGGGTGTCACCACGTAGCCCTCCGTCTTGTAGTTCTCTCCTGGAGGGGTGCAGGATGGTCAGGGTGGGTGCAGGGATCTCTTCCAGGGATGCGGCAGGGCTCCAGCTCCTCGCTGGGCTGGGCTGGGCTAGGCCAGCCCATAGGGAAGGACGTGGAGCCGAGAGGCTCACACAGAGCCCAAGGCTGGGGCCAGGCCACGCAGGCCCACACGTGGCTCCTACCAGGTCACGGTGCCTTTCCCACTCACCCGGCTTGTGGAACTTGAGGGCTTCTCCCCGGAGCTGCTCCAGCAGTGACAGTGTCTCCGTGCCCACCTCGCCTGCACACAATAGACAGGGGTTGAGCAGCAGCTGGTGCCACCACAACCCTCCCTGGCTGCCCCAGGGAGCAACCAGCACAAAATCCTGGCCCTGCAGCTCACGAGGGCCCAGCTCTGCCCAGCACCCTGCCCTCCCCTCCAGGGCAGGGTGGGTGCTGGACGCCAGGGCAGTTCCAGGAGCAAAGCAGTAACCTCCTGGGTCACTGCGTCCCTGGCACCTTGGGCGCTGGTTCCCGCAGGGTGGGTGGCAGCCGCCGGGGCGCTCCTCCCTGCTGACCAGGCCACCGCGGGCAGGGGCCACCGCAGCCCCTCACTCACGCACGGCCTCGGGTGTGCAGCGGTTGTCAGCAGGACGGTGGAGCCTCTTACCGTTCTCCACCACGGCCGCCTTCTGCTTCTCCGACGGGGCCGGACGGGCCTTCGTGGTCTGCAGGGACCAGCACAGCACGGCTGAGCACCTCAGCCAGCGCGCTCTGACCCCCAACCCTGCTGTCCCCGAGCATCCCCTCGGCCCAGGACAGTGACAGGGCCTAGGACAGCGCAGTGCTGTGCGACTGCAGCAGGTTCCCTCTGCCCGAGACATTTGCTACACCCGAGGAGCAGCAAATGACTCGAGGAGGCTCTGGAGCCAGCCCGGTACTGCCAGGCTCCTGCTTGCAGATTCAGGGCTCCGTGCCCAGCCCAGAGCCCAGCCAGACAGCCTGGAGGGTGCTCAGGGGAGCAGGAGTGTGACTGGGGGTACAGAACTCGCATTTGGGAGCTGCAAAGCCCACCTGGATACACAGGAAAAAGCCTATCCCGATGCCAGCCTTCCCTTCCGCCTCACCTTTGGTTTCTTTTCCAAATCAGCTTCTGTCTTGGGGCCCAGCAAATGCAGCACCTGAGGGAGCGAGAAAGGGGCCCAGTGCGGGCGCAGGGGTGGGAAAGGCGCCCAGCTCCCGTGCTGGCCACGGCACCGACAGCACCCCGAGCCCACGAAGCGCCCGGCCTGCCGCCCCGGCGCCCACCTGCAGGTCCACTTCGTTCTTGATGGTCTTGCCGTCTGCCCAGCGGAGCCGGCTCCGCGCCTCCCCTGCGGGCACAGGGACACGGTGGGCGAGAGGCCCGGCCCTGGGGGCTGCAGCCTCCGCACCCCTGGGCTGAGGACGAGACACTCGTGTCCTGAGCCGGGACGCCACGGATGGCGGCTGGGGGCAGTGCCCGGGATCAGGGATGTTCCCGGTGTCCCCAACATCCCCAGCGGGATTTCTGCCCCGGGCACGGTCTACATGGTGGTGAGGTGGGGAAGAGGCAGGCGCGGGGGAAGAGGAGGCGCCCGCAGCGCCGGCACCCTGCAGTACCGGTACCGTGTGCCGCAGCGCTCACCCATCAGCAGCCCCATGTTGAAGCGGTAGCGCTCGGCCAGCAGCTCCGCTCGGTGCCGGCTGACCACGGCCTCCACCTGGGGACGGACGGGCGGTGAGCGGGGCCGGGCGCGCCCCGCGGCCCCGCCGCCCGCTCACTCACGGCCTCCTCGATCTGCTCGGGGCTCACGCTCACGCCCACGCCGCACGCCTGCTCGAAGGCGGCCGCGTCCAGCGGCTCCAGCGGGTGGCTCTTCAGGTAGTCGAAGGAAGCCCAGGTGCTGCGGGGCCTTGAGGCGCGAGGCCGCGCTGTAGAGCAGCGTGCCCGTAGCCTTGTCCAGCGCCGGGCCCTGCGCGCGCTGCGCCTGCGGGACGGGGGCAGCGCGTGGGGACGGGACCCGCGCCGGGACGGGACCGCACCGGGACGGGACCGCGCCGGGACGGGACCGCGCCGGGACGGGACCGCGCCGGGACGGGACCCGCCACGGAACGGGACCCGCCACGGGACGGGCCCCGCCACGGGACGGGACCCGCCACGGAACGGGACCCGCCACGGAACGGGACCCGCCACGGAACGGGACCCGCCACGGAACGGGACCCGCCACGGAACGGGACCGCGCCGGGACGGGCCCCGCGCCGGGACGGGCCCCGCGCCGGGACGGGCCCCGCGCCGGGACGGGACCCGCGCCGGGACGGGACCCGCGCCGGGACGGGACCCGCGCCGGGACGGGACCGCGCCGGGACGGGACCCGCCACGGGACGGGACCCTCCGTGGGACGGGCCCCGCGCCGGGACGGGCCCCGCACTTGAACGGGACCGTACCGGGACGGGTCCCGCGCCGGGCCGGGCCCCTCCGTGGGACGGGCCCCGCGCCGGTATGAGCCCCGCGCCGGGCCGGGCCCCGCGCCGGGCCCCTCCGGAGGTGTCCCCGCACCTGCAGCACGGCCTGGCGCAGCAGCGCGCTCAGCGCCGCGTTGCGCAGCGTCTCGCGGGCCTTGGCCTCGCTGAGGCCGATGCCGGTGAAGAGCCCCAGCGCCTCGGCCGCCTCCGCCTCCTCCGCCGCCGCCGCCATGCTGCCGCCGCCGCCGCCTGCCGCCAGGGGGGCGGGGCCACGCCTGGCCAATCGGGGCTGGGCGGGCGGGGCGCCGGAGAAAGCTCTGCCAATAGAATCCGCGCACTTCCCAACTGGCCTAATAGGAAGGCGAAGGGAGTAACGGCCTCCGCGAATGGGCGCGCGGGGGGCGGGGCCGGGCGTGCGAGCCGTTGCATCATTTAAAGGGCCCGGCGCAGCCGCGGGACACGTGGTGGAGCCGGGGCGGGGCCGCGGTGCTGGGCGGGGCCTCGTGGTGGGGCGGGGTCAGACATCGAGGGGCGGGGTCAGACCCCAGGAGGGGCGGGGCTCTACGGCGCGCCCCGCCTCCTGCCTGCCCTAGACCCGCCCCCCGACCGGCCCCCACCCCGGTGCCCTCCCGTGTCAGTTCCCGTGCCGGTTCCCGGGCCCTCTCCGTGCCCCCGCTCTCCCACGTCCCGTATCCCACCCCGTGTCCCCCCATCATGTCCCACATCCCCCTGCCCCTCCTCTGTGCCCCGGCTTTCCCTGTCACGTCCCATATCCCACCCCACGTCCCCTCACCGTGTCCTGCCTTCCCCTATGTCCCCAGTGGGCTCTGTGTCCCTGCCCCGTGTCCCATGTGCCACCACCCATGTCCCTCTCCCTGCGTCCCTTCCAGATACCAGGACAACCCCCTGTCCTCTCCCCGGCTCCACGTTCCCTATCCCTGCTCCACGTCCCTCCCATCTCTGCCATTTCTCCCCACCGACAGCCCCGGCAGGGGTCCCAGGTGGGGGACACCCCCCGTGCCCCACAGCACCCTGGTGCAGCAGGCGGGTGGCTGCCAGAGACCTTTATTGGAGCCACCGATGGCAATGGGACGGGGGCAGCGGCTGGGCAGGAGGCCTGGCTGGCCCAGGGGGCTCAGCCCCCACCGGCTATCCACGTTACTCCACAGCCTGCACCGTCCCCGCGGCCTCCTTGTCCTCCGCAGCGGGCGCCGCCTGGGTCTCCCGAGTCTCCTTGTCCCCTGTGTCAGACAACCGCTGTCTCCCCTTGATCTCCTTGATCGCTGCAGTGGGCACCGCGTGGGTGTCCTGAGTCCCCCGGTGCCCCACGGCAGGTGCCTGCTGGGTGCCCTCGGCCTCCTTGTCCCCCAGAGTGGACACCCGTTGTGTCCCCTCGTCCTCCTTGTCCCCCGCAGCAGCCGCCTGTTGTGTCCGCTTGGCCTCCTTGTCCCTCACAGTGGACGCCTGTTGTGTCTCCTTGTCCCCCGCAGCGGCCGCCTGTAGTGTTCTGTCGTCCTCCTCGTCCCCCGCAGCGCCCGCCGGCCGCGCGCCCGGCTCCGGCAGCGGCTTCACGCTGTAGCGCGCGCAGACGTGCGTGCCCGACACGCTGCGGTACTCGCCCATCTCGGTGCGCACGGCCTCGTTCTGCGTCACCGTGAGCAGCACGGGCACGGAGAAGGTGACCTCGCGGCGCAGCACGTGCACGCGGAGCACGGCGCGCGGCGGCACGGCGGCCGGCAGCTGCACGGCCACCCGCTCGCGCCGCGTGCTGCTCTCGCTGCGCCCCTTGTGCACCGTGAACACGTTGGCCGCCTCCACGGCCAGCGTGAAGGAGAGCCCGGCCTTGAGGCTGGTGGCATTGCTGAAGTGGAAGCTCTGCCAGAGCGCCGTGCCGTACTCGCGCGCGCTGCTGGCCGCCAGCGCCTGCTCCCGCCACGTCTCGTTCACCGCCACGATCTCGTCCAGCAGCACCTCGCGCTCGTCCTCCACGCGCCGCTGCTCCCAGAGGAGCCGCGCGGCCACGAGCGGGCGGCCCGGGCGCAGCGGGCGCAGGTGCGAGAGCCGCCCTTGCAGGCCCTGCTCGGGCTCGTAGCGCGCCAGGCGCTCGCCGGGCCACGCGAGGCAGCGGCGCCCGCCGCCGCCGGGGTGCTGCGACAGCTCCCACACGCCGCGCTGCACCTCGTGCGAGCCCACGCGGTCGTTGAAGTAGCCGTAGGCCAGGTTGGTCTCTTCGGTGACCACCTTGCGGGCGCCCTGGAAATGGGGCCGCTCGTAGAGGGTGATCTGCGGCTCGCAGAGGTCGTGGTGCACGAGGCGCAGCGAGGAGAAGCTGCGCGGGCGCCCCACGGCCGGGTGCTCGCCCTCCTCGAAGACGTGCGCCTCCCCCTCGTACTTGGCGCCCGTGTAGGCCACCCAGGGCTGCCCCAGCACCTTGAGCGAGGCGATGCAGTCGCCGAAGTCGAGCTCGTGCAGGTCGGGCACATCGCAGCTGAACTCGCGGCTCAGCCCCTCGAAGTCGGCGCGCTCGAACACGGTGATGCGGTTCATGGCGACGGCCCCGCGCCGGGCCCCCCCGTCGCTCCGCTCCGCGCCGCTCCGCCGCCGCTGTTATCTGGCCCGGCCGTGGGCCGGGACGCCGGGTGGCCCCGGGACCAGCCCTGCCGGAAAGTCCTGCCTCGCCCCGGCACGCAGCGCTCCAGCGGCAGCGAGTCACCGCCAATTAGCGCTTCCGCCCTGCCTGAGCTAATTACAGCGCCGGCCGGCGGGGCAGGACCAGCGGGCTCACCCCGCAGGGTCACCGGGTACGGCGGAATGACGATGGGGAAGGTCCTACAGGTGCACGACCCAGCCGTGGGACACAGCCCCCCAGCAGAGTACAGCCCCCGGGCAAGGTGGAGCCCCTGGCAAGGTGTAGCCCCCCAGTGTGGCACGGCCCAGCCGATCTCGCCAGCACGGCACCACGCACGGCCCGGCACATGCAGCCCCCCCATCGCAGCGTGTTGCAACGCTGCCCCGTGACGCGGCATGACGAGCGTGCTGTCACCAACACAGCCCAACGCGGCCCCTGCCCTGGCACCTGGCCCGAGCACGGCCCGTGTCCGAAGCCGACACCGCGGCCCCGGCCCGCGGCCACCGCCGGGGGTGCCCGCAAAGGGACAAGGAGCCCTGGGCTGGGTCCGACCTGCAGCCGAGACCCCCAGCCCTGGGGCGGGATGCGCCGCGCCGGCCGGCGCTGGGCCTGGCGGCAGCTGCACGGGGTGCCCCAACACCGGCCATGGGCACCGTGTGACCGGGAGAAGGGACTGGTGGCCCCGCTGTCCCACCGTTCCCACCCTGCCTGGATCGCCCTACACGCACTGCTGTGGTCCACCCACCCCAGGGTGAGAAACTGGGCCCCCTGCCCCACACGAAGAGGCGGCACCTTATTCCAGCTCCCACCCCGCTCCGTGCGCTCCGTACTCGAATCCATCACATCGAGCCCCCGCCGCACACCCCCTGCCAACCTGCCGAGCCAGGAGTGTGCCAGGGTCTCCCAATTTATTGCCAGATGTCGGGGCGGTCGGGGTTACACCAGACAAACGCTACGGGAAGCAGTTAGTGAGCGAGGCGCTGCCCGGCCGCCGCGGGGCGCCGGTGGATGGACAGACGGACGGACGGGCGGGCGCACGGACGGAGGCCGGGGCCGGGCTGCGCGCGGGAGCCCGGAGCCCCGCGCCGGGGCGCCGGCCCGGGCGGCCGCCGGCGGGCAGCGGCGGTGGGAGGCGGCGCTGGCATTATTGCTATGGCGGGCGGGAGCGGCGCGGCGCTCAGATCACAGTCTCGAAGAGCGTCGCCTTCTCCTTGGGCGGCTCCGGGGCCAGCAGCTTGGCCTCGGCCTCGGGCGTCAGGTACTCCAGGTGGTGGTGGCCCCAGATGGGCGTCGTGAGGAGCTGCCAGCGCTGCGGGGACACGGCGCGTGAGCGGGGACACGGCGCGTGAGCGGGGACACGGTGCCTCTGCGGGCGCGCGCGGTGCCGCCGGGCTCACCTCGCGCAGGGAGCCTTTGCAGCGCAGGAGCTTGTAGAGGACGGTGCAGGGGATGCAGAGCATGGAGGAGAGCGCCAGCACCCAGCCGATGGCGTCGCCCCACCACGGGTACACGTACGTCTTGTTGTACGTCAGCGGCTTGTAGTTCACCACGTGGAACACGAAGATGCCCTGCGCCCGCAGAGGCGCTGAGCGCCCACGCTGCCGCTGCCCCGGCCCCGCACGTGGGGCAGCCCCGCGCCCCGGCCCCAGGGACCCCAACCGCGTGGCTCCCCACGGCCCCGACACGCACAGGATCCCAACGCCCTCGTGTCCCAACGTGCATGGGGCTCTACAGACCCCAAGCACGCAGGGGTCATCCGTAAGCCCAGACACGTCACTCCCCCAGATCCCAACACACGTCCCTCATGTGGCTCCCCAGCCCCCCAACTTGTGAACAACTCCTGCAGAGCCCCAGGACACATTTGACACCCTGGGGTCCCGACCCACGTGTGGCTCCCATGGACCATAACACATGCGGCTCTCCGGGGTCCCAGGGTGCACATTCCCACAGCCCCATGTGGCTCGCAGTGACCCCAACACACAAGCGACTCCCTGATACCCCCCCCCACACGTGACTCCTTGCGGTACCAACATCCACACGGCCCACGACACGCCGACACGTGTCGGGCGCCCTGACACACGTGGGGCTCCCCAGGGTCCCCCCACACACGTGACTCCCCCCCGGTCCCAAAACACGTCCCCCTGGTCCCCACACGCGGCTCCCGCCGCCCCGACACGTGTGGCTCCGCGGCGCCCCGTGCTGCCATGTGCGGAGCGGCCGCCGGGGGGAGCCCGCCGCCCACGGCACCGCGGCGCCCGGGCGCACACGCTTGCACACGCTTGCACACGCTTGCACACGCGCGTCAGCCCCGCTCACCACGCAGACCAGCGGCGTCACCACGGCCCAGCACCACTTCATGAAGGGCAGGGGCCGGTAGCCGATCATGCGGGCCACGTCGTCCATGAAGCGGTCGGCACCTGCGGGCGCGGGGGTGTCACACGGGGCCCCGCGGGGCGCCCGCGGCCCCCCGCCCGGCGGCGCCGGCCTCACCGTAGACCCAGGCGATGACGACGCACTCCCAGAAGGCCTGCCAGAGCAGCGTGATGCCGCTGGCCGAGTAGTTGTCGAAGAGCTGGAACACGTACATGCCGCCCTGCGGGACGGCACGCGCCGCGCGTCCGTGGGGCTGCGCCGGCTGCCGGGGCGCAGGCGGCCCCGGGGACGCGAGTGCCCCACGGCGCCCCGTGCAGCGAGCCACGGGTGACCCGCGTGGTAGCGGCAACCCACGCAGCACTGCACGCTGCACCGGTGACCCGTGCAGCGCCGGGGACGCAGACGGCGCCGGTGGCCCTTGTGGCACAAACGACCCACAAAGTTTCCACAGGTGACCCACACGGTGCAGGGACCCCATGGACACGCCACGGGGAGCTGCTGCCCCACGCGGGGGCCACCCCAGAGCACAGCCCCGGGCCAGGCGGGCCGTGTCCCCACCTGTGTCACCATGGAGAGGTCGATGAGGCAGCACACGAGGCAGCAGAGCGCGGCGGTGAGCTCCCGGCGCAGCGAGCCGGCCCCCGGCTGGGGGAAGAGGTCCAGGATGCCCGTGATGAAGCCCTCCACGCCGACGAACTGCGGCGGGAATGAGGCTCGCGGGCGGCTCGTGCCACGCCGGCGCTGGCCCCCTCCCCGCCACCCTACCTGGCTGTCAAGTCCCAGCACGAGGAGCATGAAGAAGAAGAGCGTGGCCCAGAGCGGGGACAAGGGCATCAGCGTCACGGCTTTGGGGTAGGCGATGAAGGCCAGGCCCGGGCCTGCAGGGACAGCGGGGTCGCTAGCACCGCTGCGGGCGCTCGCCGAGCGCCTCGTCCCACCGGCCGGCACTCACCGGACTCGGCCACCTTGGAGATGTCCACGCCTTGCTCCGAAGCCATGAAGCCCAGCACGGAGAAGACGACGAAGCCGGCGAAGAAGCTGGTGGAGCTGTTGATCACGGCCAGGATGTAGGCATCCCTGCGGGCGGGAGCGGGTCAGCGCGGCGCCGGCCACGCCGCGGGCACCGGCGCAGGAGCACAGAGCTCTACCGGTAGCAGTTGTTGTGGAAGCGGTTGTAGCTGCCCAGCGCGGTCAGCGCTCCCAGCCCGATGGCGTAGGAGAAGAAGATCTGGGTGCCCGCATCGATCCAGACCTGGGGCGCAAGGGAGAGCGTCGGGGACGGGTGCCGGGGCCGGCGTCGCGGTGCCCGCGTCCCCCTGCCCTCACCTGCGCCTCGGCCAGCTTGGACCAGTCGGGTTTCAGGTAGTAGACGATGCCGCCCAGCGCGCCGGGCAGCGTCACGCCATGGACCAGCAGCAGGATGAGGACCACGTAGGGGAAGAGCGCCGTGAAGTAGACGATCTGCGGAGGGGCGGGCGCCGCTCAGACCCCTGTGTCCGAGGCGCTGACGTCCCAGCGGGGCCACGGCTCGTGGACGGCCAGGGCTGCTGGTGACGCCTCCTCGGCAGACGTGGGGCTGGACGTCCCGCACGCACCACGGTGGCTGGGAGCATCGTTGAGTGCTCCCGCGTCGGCAGCCGCAACGTGCCCGAGGCGGGACGAGCGGCGCGCGCCGCCGGGCACGCCGCGGGCCGCGAGGGACGCGGCCGCCCCGCGTTACCTTCCCCGTAGACTTGACGCCCTTCCAGATGCAGAAGTAGACCACGACCCAGGTGGTGACCAAGCAGAGGATCATCTGCCAGTTCATCTCCCCCGGCTCGCTGAGGTCCCCCGAGAGCCGCAGCACTTTGTTCCTGCCGGGGGGCGGCGCTGAGCACCGGGGGGGCCCCGTGGCGTCCCCCCCCGCGGCCCCACACTCACTCCCAGAACTCGATGACGGGCGAGCGCTTGTTGGCCATGTCGGCACAGCTGACGTTGAAGGCGCTGGCGTTGGCGCTGGCGTTGGCGCACAGCTCCAGGTGGAAGAACTCGGCGCACTGCTCCGTGTTCCACGCGTGGCCGCACGTGGCCCAGGGCAGCGTGTCCGTCAGCGAGTGCACCAGGTAGAAGAGCCCCCACACCAGGATCATGATGTAGTAGGAGTTGCAGAAGAAGACGATCACCATAGAGGCCAAGCCCAGACCTGGCGCGCGGGGCAGAGCGGAGCTTGGAGCGGCGCCCAGCCCTGGTGCCCGTGGTGGGACACGGGGAGCCGCCGGGCACGGGCAGAGCCAGCAGGATGCGGGGAGGAGCTGGGACCTGCACAGCGGATGGGGTGGCACGCAGGGAGCCGGTGGGGACGGGGCAGGACACAGGGGCAGCAGGAAGGACACTGGGGAGTCCCCACGGGCACAGGCGGCGGGACGGGCACAGGGAGCGGCCGGGCACGGAGGAGACTCGGGCGCCGCGGGTCACGGGGCCGGGCACGGAGCCCGCAGGGCGCGCGGGCAGCGGCGGGCAGGGCCGGAGGCGGGAGCAGCGGGCGCAGGGAGCCGGCAGGGCGCGGGCAGCGCGCGCCGGCCCCGGGCAGAGTGCAGCGGGAGGCGCGCGGCGCCGGCAGCCCCAAGGGGCAGGGTGCAGGCACCACGTGCAGGCAGCCCCGGCAGGGCGCCGGGTGCTGACAGCACGGAGCCTGGGCAGGGCGCTGCGTGCAGGAGACACGCGCAGCGAGTCCCGGCAGGGCGCTGGGTGCTGCCAGCACCGTGCCAGGAGCCACGGCAGGGCGCTGTGTGCTGCACCATGCAGGCAGTCCTGGGCAGGGAGTCCTGGACAGGGTGCTGCCAGCCCCAGCAAAGGAGCGGGAAACCCAGGCACTGCGCACGGTGCTGCCAGCCCCGGGAAGGGCAGCAGGAACCCCCCGGCACGGTGCAGGCTCTGCCAGCCCCGGGAAGGGCAGCAGGAACCCCCC